AAAGGTTTTTTTTGGTCAAAATGCAGTTGAGTCATAAAGATAAGTATTAAATATTATCGTAGGTTATGTTGGGGGTTTTTTTGCGTAAAGAAGGGAGGAGCCGTGTTCTGCTATTTGTTCTTGACCAGACCCCAACCACCCGTCCAGCATATGTGTCTGCACTGGATTTCCCAGTGTGCTTGGCTGCAGTGACAGAATGACGACATTTAGCTTCAAGGGTCAGCTGGACCGCTAAGGCCTATAATAACCTTATAAGGTGTTAGCCAAGTGTTTGTTTTGATATATTCTTATTTTATTTATTCACTTAAGGTAGGGTCATTCACAGTAACATTTAAAATCATTACCCATTTTAAATTTATCATGGATAATCAGTTAAATGACCATACTCAATAACACTGCAGTTAGACAGCGTGAGCAGTTGTTGTTTAATCTTGTCTGCTGTTTATTTATAATACTTATGCGTATTAACGGATGAATTTTTCTCTCTCCAAAAATGTATCACTCAGCCCTTCCAATCTAATATGACAAAAATAAGATATTTTGTGTTTGATATTTATTTTAGTAACAAGATAAGAAAATAATTTCTTATCTTGAATTTATTTATTGTTTTAAGAAATACTTAGATCAGAAATTATCAACGGTAGTAAAAGAATGCACTTATGAAGGGTGCTCAAAATAAATGAAATCAGTGGACAAACAATTTTCTCAAGAACAGCTCTCAAAGTCTGAATTAAATTTCAGTAAGCAGAACTTTTCCATAAAGCTTAATTTACAGCCTTAACAGCTGAAAGTCTTTGTCATTAAGGCACCATTACATTTCTTTTAATATGGCTGGCCGTCTAGCTAGTCAGAATTGCAGCTCCATTGTATTTATTTGAAAAAAACAATTGATCCAGTTCAGTATAATGGATCTGTTGTGACTTACCATCGGCTGCATGAGCGTCAGCCATACCAGCATCATTTTGGATTACGGAGCATACCTCCAGCCGTATCATGAAACTGACCTTTGACATGACCCGCGCTGATTCAACTGATATTTGGTGATTTTTTTAAAAAAATGCGTATTACTTATTTGTAAGGATCTCAAGATAATAGTGTAAATGACTCAACATTACTATAAATAAAATATAAATGCAGTTAATATAAAACAGTCGTACAGCATCTACAGTAACGATGAGCGTGTTTTTAGCGTGTTAGCGATTTAGTCTCATGGAAGGCTAATTTTTTCACGCTTCACCGATGTGGACAATTTAGGTAATACATGCATTTTTTTATCTAGCAAAATAGTAATTGCTTAATTATTAAATACAGCTTAACTTCCTGTCCTGATGAATTTCAGAGAGGACGTGGGATGATTAGGTTGGAAATATTATTTTGTTTATTATAGGGCTGCCCAATGTGGGGGTCTAAGCTGATGACAAAAAATATCTGGGCATCACCATTATTCTCCGATAACTTTGCCCTTTCATTGTCATATCTTGATTTATAGCCAAAAATTGTTGGCAGGTGACGTGTTTTGATCTATATGTTTTACATACATTTGTGCATTGATGAAGCTAACAGAGAAATTAGCATGGGTACTAGATTTGAAAACATGCTAATGTTTCACCAAGAAGTGTTGTTTTTCTATTTCCTAAAAATCCTCTTTCTACGTTTCCATGCAAATGAATAAAACTCGGTTTATAAGCCAGGTATTGCTTCTGTTTTCTGCAGTTAGGCAGTTATTGCTTGGTTTCTGTAACTCCGTATTGCTTTGGGGTGTTGAAGCCCGTTTGTTATGAACACTCAGTAAACACCCATATCTACCGACAGCTAAACTAATAGTAATAATTTTATAGTTCTGACACTAAATACATAACACATTAGTGCCTATTTCTCTGGGTGATTTATGAGCTTTTCATGTGCAGGAACATCAAAACGAATATTCAAATGTTACTTAGCATCGAAGCTAGCTATGGGATATAGACTGCAGAAACATGCACTCAGACTGTGTTTGTTGTTCCGTAAGTCTTCGAAAAAACAGTCACTGTGGTGCTTATGTTACTCACTAAAGAAAAAGAAATGCTTGCAGCTTTTTGAAGATAAGTGGTTTATTTTGGGTAGAACAGGTGGGACCTTACCCTGTGAGAACAACTCTGCGGTCTCATTAGCAGGGGCGGGATTGGAAAACTCACGCCCGTGCGAAAAGGCAGGACAGGAAACACCATTTATACCACCTCGTCTGCCTTGAGTGGGGGCGGGGGGGCTGCCCCTTAATGTCATTTTATTTAACAAAATCGTGTGAGGCTCACAGTGAGGGTGTCAGACGCCAGTTATTTAATAGTTAGATAGATTAGCGGCTGGGCAGCACTCCTGGGGGAGTGTATTCCTGTGAAGGTTTTTCCCATCTTCTTTTTTGAATTCCTCCCTGCTGTGTCACTACGGGGAATCCTCTACTTGGCACGTTGGTGTTATATTTGTCAGAAAGGGTCATTGCTGGGCAGAGGTTTCTCGTTTTTCAACCAAAAAAAAAAAAAAAACAAACTGGCAGAAAGACATGTCACGGAAAGGTTCCCCCGGAAACGAAAAGATAATGTGTCACTGTAGAAGCCTAATTAATTACAGTCAAAACAACCTACTTTTTTCTAAAGAACGAAATAAACGGATATATAGTTTCCCTATTGATTTTAAAATAGTTTTTTCAGTTTTTAGTTTGACTTAAAAACTTCTTAAGACCTTATGGTCAACAACAGCTTGATAAAATCTACAGTATGTCTTCAACCCACCATGCGTCACATAAACTGTGAACGAAACACTTCGATGTTATTTGTCTTGGTCGATAATCACCATGCGCTTGTGACTGTAAAAAGGCCATCTTGGGCATTCAGACACTAACTGATAATCTCAGTGCTGCATTTTGGGTATCGTTTATGGGGAGGTATTTAAATGAATGAATAGTTTTGAGGATCAGCCATGACCATGAGTCTGGTTTTTCCTGTACGATTGATTGTACTTTTGTCTACGGCCTGGATGAAGGTAAGCGAAGTTGTGCAGCGCATATTTCACGAGGAAGGCAATATGCTAGTGTGTGCTGGTGAGCCTGAGACATTGCTAGAGGAAATGGTCAAGAGTTTATAACTAAGAGATACAGACTCGTACAAGTGATGAAATGAGCCCTCCTTTGGTGAGAGGAGTTGGGACACGAGGGACAGATAAGACTCGAAGAGTCCCGGTCAAGTCTACGGTTCAAGGCCCCGCCCACATCTCCAACAGAAAGCAGAGCATGCGGTAGTAGCTTCTGTGTGAATCTGTTGCAAAAAAGGATTCTCTGCTGAAAAGTGGTGCTGTAGTGGCAGCAAGTTGGGTGGAAAATTAATGAGAAAGAGACACGAGGTGCCGACAAAAACAATGATGCTTTTTCTCATCGTCCTCCCTGTGGGGGAGCGATGTGTCATGTGGGGAATCCTCCTGTCAGCATTTTCTGTTTTATTTGCCAGAAAGGGTCAGTGCAGAGAAAGAGGTTTCATCTCGTTAATCTGTTTAGACTGCAGCAGAAAGTCGCAGGCTGTCCAAGAGCGACGGCCGTACAAAACGAAGGAGAAAATCAGTTTAGTCACTGCAGTATCGGCTCAGGATAAATGGCACAGCCAAGAGGAACTGAGTCTCACACAGTCACGTTTACCCCAGCCACAGACCCAAGCTGCCGCCCCCCAATCACCATGCTGTAACTTTGACCTTTTAAACGCCACTGATGCTCACAGCCTAAATAAAGCGGAGATCTAGACAGCAGGTCAATTCACCGACTGACACGGACGCGTAATCATCACAGGTGCTGCCGATCAGTGATTTTTCTAACTATGATTTAACAAGCAACTGGCACGTGGTGGATACAGGGAATTAAATGAAAGCTATTGAACATCTGCCATCTTGAGACTCGGAGTGAAATTACTTATCGATTAGTCGCTGGTTTTTAATCTCGGAAACGCTGCAGCAGACTGGCATGTTAGTCTTGCCTCTGCATGTTCCTTTGTCTATTTCTGGGTTGTGAATAGTACACCCATCATGCACTTTGCACAGATTAAAGTGGTCTTTACACTTTTGCTTTTTGGACCTGTGGCATATATCTAACAAGCTGATTTATTTCCGATTACTTAACTGAAACTTTTTAATGTGCCCTGAGTTTACGTAAATCTACATTTTGGAGCGTAAGATTAAAAAAAAAAATTTTTTACACAGCCGCCTGTCGCTAATCACCATTAGCCACAAGGCAGCTGTACTCTTGAAAAGAAATGCACGGAAGCCACTCTTGTCAGATAACAGCGGTGGAAATGCTCAGAGACCCCAAGGCTTTGGCCTGAACACTTCCTGTCACTGCAGTGACATTTCGCATCACGCCGTCGAGCTAGGCTGAGACACCCCAGTCAATTAATGATATTGCACAGACTTGTTTCAGGTGTGATTAACAGTGAAACCAATCATACTGGTACAGAATAACATATCAAGGTATAAATGAGTCAGAAAAAAAGACATCACTGCTGTTCCATGCGTTCGATCATAGGGTATAACATCAAAACAAGTTTTCTCAAAGACAAAATCCATCTCTTAAACTTTGTATGGATTTATGCTTATTTGTTACCCTCACAAAAACACTGGCAATAAATAAATTCCTTGTCATCTTCTGTGGTAGGCAAGAAGTCAGATTTTCATGGTTTTTCTAATGAATTAAGTACAGACGAACTTTCAGCTTACGAACTTTCAGACATACGAACGAAGAGGACTGTAAGTCCAAATTGTGTGCATTGGGCTCCCATTTCCTGTCCGCAACATCAATTTTTTTTCTGTGTGCCAATTCCACCTAGTACGACTTCTGGCCGCTACTCCCGCCGCGCAGCAGCGTAGCGTGCGTACTCCCAGCATCCTAGTTCTTTGTACTTGCGTATACCCTTAAAATGATGTTGAATAACGACTTACGAACATTTCAAATTACGAACGGCCGTTCAGAACGTATCATATTCGTAAGCAGAGGAGCGTTTGTACACTATCCTTAATTTGTGTCCAAATTAAGAGGTTGTATCCTGTAAGAGGCCTGCCTTAGGCTTCATGATATACATGATTTTGTTATGCTGACAGTCGTTCTTGATGTGTGTTGAAATCCTGGCTCATCACAGATGTCCCCCAGCAGTATTCCTGTGTTGGTAATTTTGGATCCAGGCTGGTCCTCTTGCCTATTAATTTTTCATATTCTTCTTGATCTAATTTAAAAATATTCGGTACTGTATATTAGCCTGTTGTACTAACCAAACTGGGATTTGTAATATGGCATCAGGCAAAATATAAAAAAAAAATAAAACCAATCTTTAGCAGTTTTACTTGAAATTAAAAATCTGCTACGGTTGCATGCAAGGCACAATACCTTTACTTCCTGTATTAAAACAGCATCATTAACTAGTAATAACTGCAAAATGTGCAGTTTTAAAAACGAGGCCGTACCATTGAATAGCGTAACACGAAAGACTGCGGGGAAGGGATGAATTGGCACATGGTGAAAATCTGAGAGGGCAGCCATCGCTGTTGAAAGCATGTGGGATAAGAAATTTAGCCAATACAAAAAAAAGGGGCCGTAATCTGCCCACTGCCAGACCACTCTGTTTTTCAGTATCTCTGCCAAGTTTTTGATTCACCACAACATGAATCAATGGCTGCCTTCTTAAGATGTAATATTAAGATATTTCTGGGAACTTCTGTTTTGGAAATTAAGCCTTTACATATGCAGACACATGAATCAATAACTAAAAGCAAAGTCAATTTTAATGTAATTTTAATATAGAAATGTACTCTAATGTACGTTTGATGTAAAAACTGTATAAAAACTTTTGTCACTGTAATACAAATATATGATGCATACTGTACCTGTGTTCATACAAGGAGTCCCTACATTTAGGGTGTCCCGCACAGACTGTATTAGGTGATGTGGTAACACTTTACTCCAAGGGGTACAAATAAAGTAGTAGTACACTCTTACTTAATGTATTTATTAACTAGAACCAAAGTGTTAGTTATGCATTGATCCCATGTTTGTTCATCATTAATCAGTCATAACAGTTTATTTCATGCAGTTACTATATTTGTTCGTGATTTGTACTTGAGTTGTAATTGAGTTGCTAAGATACTTGTGCTCCGTCAAGTAAAGTGTTACCGATGAATCTCATTTGGGTACATTTTAGTCAGTGCCTTATATAGTTTTTCTTCAAAATACTGCTTTAAAATAAGGATTGTATTGATAGCACAACACTCTCTAAGGGATGTCCAGTCGTTTTCAGTAACTGCTGTAATTATGCTCATGGTGTATGCCTTGTTTCTCCTTACCGTAGCATGCAACATTCCATTTATAATCAAAAACCCTTAAAACTGACAAAATGCAGGTTCTGTAAAGAAATGAAATTGAGCTTTATTTGCCATTTGTACAAATACGAGAACAGGTACATCGGAATGTGTTTTTTCTCATATCCTATCTTGCTGTCCTTTTTTAAGATATACACACATATAGCGTTCTTTTAATCTTGTTGGCATCACAAAGGAGAACTTCAATGCTTCCTGATAAGTTCAATCTCCAGTTTTTTGGTGGTAATTTAGTCAGGGAGACACCACAATTACCTAAAACTATAAGTTAGGGGCTTCCAACTGTACGTTCTACACAACGTGTCCAAATGAAAAATGTCGTGCAAGAAAATCGCAGCCCGGTAACACTTACCGAATGGAGGGGGGCGGATGCTGACAGTTAAACCGGCTCCTCTAGCAAACCCGTAACGTTGCCGATCGAGCCCTAATTTAAGGCCTGGAGACGTCAAGATTTTCCATTTTTGACATTGTACTTAACCTTGGATTTCACTGTATTACTGCAGATGTAAGAAAAGGACCGTACTGTCACTCAAAGCCTGATGGCCAGTTTTTATTGGTTACTCAGACTTGGCTGGTGGGTTGGTCAGGTGGGGGGGGAATATGCTGGGCAGGAGCATGGCTTCATGCCCCACCTGTCAGCTGCAAGCCTGACGGCCTGGTGATCACAGTACAGCAGGATGGCTGATCCGGCCCACGGCTGCCTCAGCATTTCAGCACCGTGTTCTTCAAAATGGCATTACGCAAGATCTGTTGCGGGTTGATCGTGCCCTTGTGTTACACCAACCAGTCTGTTGCGTAATGCCAGGTGAACGCAATGCTTTGTCAATGTGAGTCGTACCTCGAGGAGTCCAGTTAGATCATTTGAATTCTACAGAATTGCTATTCCTTAGTGTTTTGGCAAAATGTGTTTGCAGTGTTACGATTACGTGATTTCTCTGAGGTACTGGGGTAGGACTTTATTGATCCCACAGTGGGGAAATTTGTGCGTTACCACAGCTCTAGACAGATAGCCTGAAAGAGTACAAGAGTAATACAGAATAAGAATACAAGAAAAAAAAAATAATAATAATAAAAAATAAAATAAGATAAAACACTAAATACAGCAGTAGTGCCTATGTACACCCATACACAGTATGTAATATATGGATAGTGGGTTGTGGGAAAAAGTGCAAGTAATAATAAATAACAACTATTTCACTACTACAGCTGCATTTACCTCTATAAGGTGCGTTATGTATGAAGGTACGTTATGTACTGCTGGTAAGAGGGTGTGGTGGGGGCCACTGTATGTGCGGCTCGGGATGGGGCTGTCAGAGACACGCGCCGCTTGCCCCCCCCCCGGCTTCACTTCGATGTGTCTTGCAATCATACTCTCATGAGACACCGGCAGCCATTCCCCTGACCCTCCTGCGGCAACGCAAGGCTTAAAAACCATTGCAGTGCGCCATGCTTGGGGTACAGAGATGTACAAACCGCGAGAGAGAGAAGCTCTTCAAACCACATTCTGTGTGTGTGTGTGTGTTAAGCAGCTCTGAGGGGGCCGGCTTGTCGATTCGTGTGTCTCCGCATGTACGTCTGCGAGTTAAACGCAAGCGCGCGGGGGAGTGGTTAATAGCTCCCACTGGTTGTTGGGGCCCAAATTACGATGAAGCTCAGAAGCTGTGGTTTAGGTACCTCTCTTCTGCCCCCGCCTCCCCCCCTCCCCCCGCTTCTCTTTCCTGTGAGGCTTGCCAGTGACACACTCAGCACCAGGTAGGTCGCACTCTGAATGTGCGTAGGGGAGGTGCAGTGGGCCCCTGAAGGTGGCTCTGGCTTTCTCTTTCAGGTCATTCACTGTAGCCGCCACAAACAGGTGATCCAGCCTCTGAGCTCTTAGCTGGTTCCTTATGACCTGAGGTGGACAGTTCAGGTCCAGAAAGTAAAAATCCAGACCAAGATTTTGTTCCAACCAAACAGTTGAGTATTCTGTGAATGTGAGATACCATTTAGACTAAACTAAACTTTTTTTTTTTTGTTTGAAAATGACAGATAATATTGCCTTTATTTTTTAGGCAGTTTTTTAACGTGTTCAAGAAATGCTGTCATGCAGTGCTGGATCATGGCTTAAACAGTGCAGGTCATTTTAGTTAAAGATATGGTTTAAACCAGGTTCAAATAAAAACTGTGAGTGTTTCCCTGGACCCCCACATCATCAGTGTCTCTTCTGACCATGCCCCCCCCCTCCCATCCTCCTATTGTCCATCTGTCCGTGCGTGACTAATGTTGCCCCTCCCTCCGTCATGTGATGCAGAAGCCATGAACATTACGGACCCCGCAATCTGCTACATCCTCGATGGGCTCCTGCTGCTGTACAGCATCGTCATGACGGCGCTCTTCTTCCGGGCCAAGGTGAGCCCCGGAGGTCCTCAGCCAAGCAGTCTGGGCATTAGGGGTGGACCAGAGATATACAAGGACGTAGAAGGGGGGCAGTGTGTATCTGTGCAGGTTAGGATGCTGTATGTGTAATCAGATGGTTGCTGGTTCAAATCCCGTGGTCCACAGAATTCACCATTGGGCCCTTCAGCAAGACCTGTCTGTCACCTTGGATAAGAGTATGTACTACATAAATAAACCGTAATATAAATCTAATTACAGTGGATGTTTGAGATGATAGATAAAACGATATGAATAACCTTGTTTCTGGAATGTGTAAAGTGACAGCTGAGGTCTAGTGTAGGTTGAGGTTAACTGTAAATCTGTAGCTGTGAGATGTACCCAAAAGTGATTAATATTGTGTATGCCTTTAATTACTCTCTTATGGTATCAGTCGGCCTACGCTGGGCAACTGTTCACTAGGAAATGACACGGAATACAACAAAGAATAGTTACTAAGGGATTAACGATTTTTGGAAGCCAAGTTTCAGTTTAGATCTGAGGATGACGTGATGCATGTCAGAGTTATAGCTACATGGTAATACTTTTAGTGCGAGGTGTGCGATTTAACGTAAGCAGAGCCAGTATAGACCCGAGGCGGATCTTCTGTGACCCTGGGTGCTGTGTGGCTGACAGACATCTGCCGTTTTCAGGAAATCAACTGAATTTGTGGTGTAAGCTGACGGAATCTGTTGAAAGTTGTTTAAAGACCTTTTTTGGGAAGGATGCAAGGGAATAGAAAAAATATCCCAACACATTACTGCATAAAAATTCATGTTATTGAAAGATTTATATTGTATTTCTGCCTTTATTCTCTCTCCGGCAGTTTGGGAACCAAAGTACTTCGAAAGAAGAAGGCATCTATTCGGTAAGTCCTTCCCCAGCTTAGCTAACCCTCAGCTCGTCATTAACATATCTCATGAGCAGGGGCGGACTTACCGTAAGGCACGGGAAGGCAACACTTGGAGTTCCCATGAAGACAGAATTTCCAGAAGTTACATGCATGGATATAGGATAATGCAGTAACCCCTTCACATTTGCGAAGGTTAGGGGTGGAACATCCCAGCGAATGTAAAAATTTGCAAATAACACTTGAGCCCCTTAACCTGTAATAATCTGCTAGCCTGAACGGCAAAATAAAAGTCTATCACTACCAATTTCTAAACAAACAGTACTGCACTTTACATTTTGCATATCAGCTTGCTTCGTCATTTTATATCAAAACCTTTTTATATGATATATAAACTATCTCAGTCCTGACCTTGCATGTTACTGCTCTACACACTGGGAACAGTTCGTTTTGGAGCTTTAATTAAAAATGCATAACTAACAGCACTGAAATGTTTAAAAGTTACTGCGAGAATTGTGAGATTTCCTGGTCATAAAGACGGCGGCGTGAGAGCTTATGAGTGAGGCTGGTTACCAAGACAAAAATACTTAGTGTACCCAAGCCAAGATATTTTAATATTAAAGGTGTAGTATGCATTTACACTAACAAATTTTATGTATTTGTAATTATGTAATTATTTCTCAGTTTTGTTTTAGCTTACAAAGGAATATTTGGCTTTGGATTTGGTCTGTGAGTTTTTGTGATCTTTCAGTAAGATCCAAAAATATTCCTGTTTAAGGAATATTTAAGGAATAATCGAAAACACAAATGTGTAATTTACTAAACTGGAGGGGTGACTGTATAATCTTTTAAATTAGAGCAACACGTCTGTTGTTTGCATGTTTGGTAACAGTTTTCAGTATAGACGAAGTTACGCCCTGTGCTGTTCCTGCTGTGAGATTTCATGCCACCCAGCCTCCTTTTCACACTGGAGCCCAGCGGTGGGCTGCCGGCTCTTTCACTGCCAAGCAAACCAGCACAAAGTAGCCAAGCAGAAGAAGAAAACGGCGCAAAGACAGAAGATTAACATTATATATCCTGTGTCTTTGATACTATCCTGCTAAAGTGGTATCAGACGTGGAGAGAACACATTTAAAAGAACGTAGGTAAAAATATCCTAGGTTACAGCCTACACCCCAGCAGAAGAGGGCACGATTAAACTTCGTAAATTTGGCCGATCGATCCTAAAAGTGCGATACCCTTCTCCCCCCGATTGGAAAATTTTACCGACAGCATGTCCACCCCCCCCTCCCCTGGTAACCTGTCCATTGAATGTTCCATTGTTTTTAATTCCCTCTTAAATAACTCAGATGACCCCCATTAGGGCCTCCAGAGAAGTTAATCTGCTCGAGCTTGTAAATCAGAAATATAAGAACAATTATTCACATCTCATCGGAATATAAAGGACGACACTGACTACGGCTTCTGTTATGTAGTTCCACTGCTTGATTGACAAATCGTGTGTGTGTTCTGATGTAATTAGAATGCTACCCCCCCCCCCCTTTTCACCCCCCAGGACCTAAATAGGGCACCTGACACCTACGACCAGCTGAGGGGCCCGAACGACCCAGAGAGCGGGACAGTGCAGGTATGCGGAGCAGAAACTTACATGGCAGCTCCTCCGGAACCATCGATCAGCACCACGTGGCCTGATTTAACAATAAAATATTACGTTAAGTCAGTGTTTCCCAACCTGGGGGGGTCCCCGAGGACCGGCTTGGGAATGGAGTATGAATTCGTAAGAAAGTGTTTAACGGGACCCAATTTTTATTTCACGTGTTGTATGTTTTCAGCGCCAGAGGCCAGGCAATGATGGCGTTTACACGGTAAGAGCCTTTTCGTTATCAGTATCCAAACTGAAGCGGCTTGTTTGGGTTCCTCGTGTCGTCCGGGGTTCTGATTGACGCGGACGTGATTATCAGCACCATGAATGAGCAGAAGATCTACGTCACTTAATCGTACGAGTGGCTTTGGACAAAAGCATCTGTGCAATGCATAGAAGCGGGCGGTCAACCGCATCTGTCTTTTTCGCTCCTTAGCCGCTGCAGAAAAAGGACGAAGACACCTACAAACAGATCACAGTGAATAGAGAGGTAGGTTTCATTTATTCTTTTTATACTAAGAAACGGTAACAGCCCTACTGTAATACTACCTAAGAGATGCAAAACTTACAGCTGTCCGTTAACCTGACTTTTCTTTCACAGCGTCGGAGAAACAAGACCGAACAAGTGTACCAGGTAAGACCATGCTATCAACCTCCATTTATTTCCTTTGAAGGGTTGGGGATACATTCAGGGGGGAAAAAGTGTATAAATATGAATATACCAAACATCTCCTAGTGTGCCCACACAAAAAGTCACTCGCTGGGCTTGTAGGCACCTCCATAGATCGGAAACAGGTAACAGAGGGACGTCCTTGGCACGCCGTCATAATATACACCCACCTTTGAGCTCGATACTGATTTAATTGATGCAAAAGTACCACATCCTGCAGATGACAGATAGTTCTGAATTTATTCTACCAACAAACCAAACATTTATTGTAATTTTATTACATTGACTCTGATGTACCCTTCCACGGAATGTCTTTTTATTGGTATGCACCACAATAACTACACCATAGTTTAAAGGTTTAAGAGCACAGAACTACCTGTTGTAAAGGAAGGAGTTTTGGGTAAATTCTTACACTCCTCATTGTTTCTTATAAATTTATTTTTAGATATGTATCATGCTTAGTAAATAGCAATGCAAATATAACAAATATAACCTATAAGTTGTATATACACACCTTTCTATTTGTGTGGGAGGAGAGATGGTAATATGTTGCAGCACCGTTTTGCATATTTTGTTTTTAACGATTATGCACATTGAGTATTCCAATGCATTTTAAATGACTCCACATTTATCATTGTGTTTTTATTACTAATGCCTTATTAATATAAATTACGTTATTAACATCAAGTAGTATAAAACCAGGTGTAACAAAACGTCAAAAGATTTTTGAAAATTTCTAAATTTATTAAGTATTATTAAGTATTAATAATCATGGAGCAAAGGGTGTGTTTTCGATTAAAGGAGCAAGACAGACATCCTTTGATCCCAAGTGGGAGAAGCAAAAGGAAGCTTGTCTTGAATTAAAAGCTGCTTCCTGAGGTTTCAGCACTGTACTGTCCCTGAACTGCTGGCTTAAAAACAGAGCGTCCCCTTCCAGTCGATCACCCTGTTCTTCATGCGTTTTCCAGTTGCCTGCCAGACAGAGTAATAATGACGGTGTGAAAGTCTTTATGGTGTGATGTATGGCAGTAATAAGTCAGTGACTGATCATTTTATTTCCCAGGCAAGCATTTGAATTGAATTTTTAATTTTTTGTTGTTGAAAATTTAGAGGGTAAATTAAATTTGTCCTCCTTCTTGCCTCCATCAGGGCCTGACCGGAGCCACTAGAGACACTTATGATGCCCTGCAGATGCAGCCCATGCTCCCCCCCCGCTAAAGCGCAGGACCCCCCAGGCTGTCCTTCCAGAAGGCTGAAGCTGTATTCACTGAGACCAAAGTCCCCTTATGGTTTTTGCAGAGCACAGTAGGACGGTTGGTGAAGGATCGGGGTTCAAGTTCATTAAAGCTAAAAAAATTAGGCTGGGTGGCTTCCTGGTGTATCGATCTGCTCTGGATTATTTGTTTAGCAAAAGAAAATGTTAGTCATACAATGAAGCAAAATATTTATAATAGCAGATACAGTTTTTGAAGATTTGGTGCATTTGGAAGTTACACGAAAGACCAAAAACGAGATGGTGGTTCACCACACGATCGCAGCTGCAGGAGCATCACCAGCTTTGTGGGTGTCAGTGAAGGGCTGTTTGACGTTTACAGTAATCTCTCTGTTTTCAGCTCTGTTTCTAAATGTCCAGGTATCACACACCAGTTTTACCAGAAAAGGTTATTCCTGTCTAATCACTCTTGGAAGTGCTTAGGTACAAACATGACAAATTTTTAATGTACATAGTTTTAGCTCATTGTTTAGTAAACTTTTATGTTTATTTACATTAGGAACATCACAAAAAGTGTATCAGAAAAGTTTTTAATGTACTAGAGGTTGTAGAGAACTTTACATTTCAAGTAATCCATTTAAGATTTTACCCTGTGATAAACAGTTCTTTACTGGGTTGATAGTTATACTATAAAATCTGCCTATTTCTGAAGTATCCTCATTTATGTAAAGTTTAGATACTCCCTGGGTTACAAAAGGTATTTTTATCTGCTAAAATTATTTACCGACTCGTTGTACAAAATAAAGGTGTTTCATTACAGCTCCATTGTTCCTTTGTGAAGTAAATCACCCTCTATTAAAAATGCAGGTTTTAAGAATTCAAGTGAATCGTTTAACTGGAAAATACTGCAAATTAGATATACACACCCCTCAGTTTTCGTCACCATTTGCCACACGTTTCAAAGAATCAAAACCTACCCAAGAGTTAGCGTGTGTTTTTAGACAGGCAATCTGTTGGCCACCTTCCCTATACACTGTGCAGGACCCCAGATCTCTGCTCCAAATGTGTTATGCTGCCAGCTGTATCAAATCCCCAGTCCTGTAAAGCAAAGAGTGGGACATACGGCTCTCCAACCTGCTGGACAGAGCTTGATTCAGTACTGAAGCCCCTCACTGATAAGGGCATGAGGGATTGGAGCACTTTGTCGATTTTACAATATGCTTAATTCTGTCATCATCATCCATTTTCCACAATCGCAGTGATGCAGTGCAGACTGTGTGTGAACCTGAAGCCTAGAAAGTAGCCAGGGGGACCCTGGGCATCCGTTCACCATATGAATACAAATATTTTCCCTCCAGGCAACCACAAAACAGCAAGAGTCTACTAAACATACCAAACCACCCACTAGGTCCTGACATTACAACTCAGCTGGTTTTCTAGGCTCATGACCAGACATCATGCACATTCATCAGTATTAAGAAAAAAACAGTAACACCCCCCCCAAATAAACCACGTTTGTCAGTGACTGGAGTGTTATGTCCATGAACTTGGGGGTGGATGGGTTTCATAGTCCAGCCTATATGTTCCTTCTGATTAGGTTAAACCAGTCAGTGACTGACAGCATGAGAATATCTCCCACTCTCCGTCTTATTCCTTTCAGAGGTTATTGTAAAAATCATCTTCGGCAGATGACAGAAAATACACACATCCCAATTCCACGCAAGCTGTAAATGACCATTACTGCCGATGTCTGCCAGATAAAGGCACCCAAGCCTACGTGGGATGTTTAAAGGCGTATCCAAAGCAAACACGGCACTCGGTTAAGTAAACAGATCATATCATTGAAGACATTCTCTTGTGAAAACTTACTCTGGTTGACTTGGAAAAGCCTTCTCCAACACGAAAGAGAGGACAGAGTACACGTGGGGGGAAAAACTCACGTCAGAGTTGTACGCCACAAACAGATTAACATCAAACTGCTATGATGCAAGACTCATGAAATTTACTAGTTCGTTTTTTTTTTACCCACCTCCTAATGTTTAGTAAATGACATCCTTTTTGTAAACAACTTTTTCTGTGTTGACCACAGCTTCAGGCCAATCCCAGAATACTCACATCTACGACTTTACATAGATGGGGATGGCTAGCTTCCAGGTTCAAGAAAAACAACAGACCATAAATTACAATGTTAAAACACTTGGAAAATGGTTTAATGTTTACAACAAAAAAGTACTGTACAGACACAGTGAAAGTTTTTTTTTTTTTTAATATATATATTTATATATATATAAAAACAAAACAAAAAAAATACAGCAGATGAATGCATCTACACAAATCTACCATGTATCCTGATTCACATATTTAAAAATTCTACTCAGTCTCTCAGATCTAGGCCACCACGCTGTAGCTGCTTTTTGGTCTGAGATCATGCTTGTGTGCCCCCCCACAGCAAAACAATAATAATAATAATAATAATAAAAAACAAACGTGCTACCATGAGTGAGACTGGACCTAGGAAACCAACCCTTCGCAAAGTATACATACACCACATTACCACAAGGGGGCGCCCCAGGGCAGAGCTCTGGATTGAGGGTTAGTGTATATCACGTAGAGTTAATGAAATTGGCAGGGGCACGAGCGGCATCATCCCAGATAACAGTGGATGGAAAGTGAAAAAAACTTTACAGAACACGCACCTTTGAAAGCTACAAACATATATATGTACAGTTTTTTTTTTTTTTTTGTTATTCAAGACTTCCGGGCAGTGAAACTGATATTACATCCACTGACACACAAAAACATACAAAAATACTATTGTTCACCTACCAGGAATAGGACAGATCTGAGATTAAATCCATGCTATGACCGAAAAGAGCAATACACCAAACAAACCAAAATGTTTTAAAATGACACAAAACCGTTTTCTTAATTATCCCAGAAATATACCAAAATATACATCTAAGCTTTGGAAGTACTGAGGTTAGGACTAATGTCAGTGCTGGGCTGTGTCTCAATACGCGAGCTGCAGGGTAGAGAGAGTCATCTTTGGTTTCTGCATCAGGCGAACGTTTTATATTTGGATTTTTGCTTTGGGATAGAGCTTGTAAAATCCTGCAACCTCCCCCCACCACCCCACCCCCCCCCCCATTTAGCCTAAAAACAAACAAAACAAACAGGAAAGAGGGGAAAAAAACAAAGAGGAGTTAAGGATCTATTAACTGATGCACTAGGACATCACACCACAGCGGGCTTTGGGCTGAGGAGCGTAATGCATAGTTTCACAGCTGGAGAAAGTAGGAAGGGGGGTAAAATAAGGAGTTAAAGTGAAAAAAAAACTGTAGAAAGACAGACGGAGTCCTGAGTGAGGTCAGCACACCTAGGACCCCCTCCAAGTACGTATTGACAAACAGCACCCAGGTCCCACAACTCTTAGCAGAAAGTCCCTCAGAGTAGCCCACCAGGTGCCTCCTGCCGACGGGATTTCCCGCCCCCTGCCAGCCTGAGGCATGCCCCACAATGTCAAACACGGCGGTAAGGGCACCAGCTCAGGCCCACGCAGTGGAACACAGAGCCCGACTCCCCTGCAGACGGGGAGGGAAGGCGTTCTACAGCAAAGGGGGGGGGAGATCCCGGGGGGATGGCTTAGTTGATACAATCAAGTACAAGTCTTTGGTTTTGTTTTGTTTTTTTTTTCCTTTCTTTGGGAGGAGGGAAGTAAAGAGTGTTGTGTGGGACTATCAGACCACAGCCCAGGGGTTAACAATGAACACACTCGTATCTACATTCAGTGGGGACAGGAGACACCAGGAAATCAGGAGCATGAAGCAAAAAAGAAACAAAAAATGCCTCCGGTTGCGACACAATGCAAGATAAATAAGATAAATAGCTCTGACATGGCTGCTTGTCGTTTACACCCTGTATGAAGAACAACTGACTCCTAAATGTTTTCATTGTCACTGGCTTTTTAAGAGAAAAGGCCAGCAAGACACAGGTAAAACTTATAAAGGGGTTTAAATGATATAATTGCCTTTTAAAGCAGACATTCATGTTTGCAAACGGGTGCTCATATGCTGCCCCCTGGTGGCACTTAAGTTCCACTACATAAGCATACACTAAACAAGACATCTGTGGGCTACTCTTACAGGACTATGTTTTTCCCCCCCTTAAGGAAGATTAAAGCATGTCTAACGGGTCGAGTTAGAAATGAGGTATACATCAACCCCTTAACCCCACGTCGACCCACAAAACAGCACAAGCCCCCACCCTTTACCACCAGCAAGGTCCCAAGGCAGTACCCCACCCCAACCATGAGCCAAGTGCTGCATCAATAACACAGCAGGACAAAAACAGAAACAGAAGTTTGTCTGCCAGCTGTGTTGCTTTCGTTTTACCGAAACCAGAGCATCTGCCTCAGATCTCATCCTAAATGTCTGCCGGTAATAAATATAAATATTCTTTTTGTATTAATTCCAAGTGCTCTCTGTTCCATGGTTTCAGTACATGACCTGAAGGACAGCGCCTCTGCCGGCTGCCCCTACTGGCTGCCCCTGCTGGCTGCCCCTGGCGCTACACCCTGGAACCTCTGCAGTGTTGAGCTACCAGAAAAGCTTCTACCACAGCGCCCACAATCGCAGGGACCTGAACCTCACGCAATGCGAGGAGGAATCTAACCAAAGCTAATGGAAACCCCCCCTCGTTTAATCCGGTGGGCGGAGCTCATGTGCATCAGTGTTCACGTACTCGTTTAGGCAAAACAGCTTGAGGGTTTCTTAGTATGAATACGGCTGTAAATGACGGTGAGTCCGGATCAGTGGTGGGAATCGCCTGCCAGGCTGGTTTCACTACATCAGCTCTTAACTGGTTTAGAGAAGGTCCCAGGTCAACTCCAGGCATGAAAATAGGTCCTCCATGGACGATGGCTCTCCACCTCAGAACCAGACACCCTTAAGACCAAAGGAACCAGTAACTGTTCACCCCTGAAAGATAATCAAACTCATGACCTGACAAAACATAAATGACCATTAACCACATCCAGATTTAAGCTCAGCATTTACAAATCAGCAAGAAAAAAATTTAAGCATAAAGATGCTTCAGTCTCGTTTCCCAGATACCCATCAGAGCAGGTCCCAGCACTAACGGCACCAGGGCAACACAGTTAATAGCATTTTTTTTCCCCGTCTTTTCAAAAGAACAAGCACAAGTTACTACAATCATTAATTGAACACAATAGTTCAGAGTTTAAAAATATTTACCTACATATACAAATAAAGCTAAGGAGGAACCCCAAGGTTTTGCTCACGCCAGCATCCGTTTCCTACACAAACATTTCAGTAACTTCCAGAGCGTCACAGTACCAAGGAGAGAGGCTGTTAGGGTAGGTAATCAAACATCAGCAACAGCAGCCCCAATGTCTAATCCAGAGAGGCCATGGAGACCCACCCCCCACTCCCAAACCCAAAGACACACCATATCCCAGCCACCTCGAACCCAACAGAATCAGAAACGTGCACATTCTCTCCTTTGGCAAGTAGGATCACAAGATCACGTGACACACAGGCAATCCCAGAAGTAGTAACCAGTAGCAGTAGTAACAGTAACAGTTGGCAAAGTAAGAAATCTGCTCGTCAGCCTCACGCAAGTGTACAGCAAAGTCACGAAACCAAATAATAATTTAAAAACGGGCCGACTTTCAAGAGCTGACAGTGTCCGTTTTAAGTGCGCCCGAAACCAACTTTACGAGAACAGCCACTGAGGTATTTTAAGTAACGTAAAAAAATAAAGCATTACAAAGTAGTATTAGTGGAGCAAACAGCTCCAAATCAATCAGGAGTAGAAAAACACTGGTGTATCACGACTCTGGCATTGCGTTCATCCTGGGCCGGGCCGGGCCGGGCACAGGGCATTTCCCGGCACAGAGCTGCTTGACCGTGGGTCCGGCAAAGGGAGACACCAGGCGCATTTTTAAGACGGCACTTCTCAGTACCAAACTCACCTGATGCATCGCCCTCATTTTAACGCCACAACCCCAAAGGTCAGTAATACTGCCCGTAAACAGGGGCCGGCGGGGAGCAGAGAGGCCGCCGCCCCCCCCATCCGACGGACTAATGGGCTATCCTCCGAGAATTGCCCGGTGACTCGTCGGCTTCAAGCCGCGCTTTAGCGCAAATGTAATGAGTCACCACCCAGAGAACAAAACTGCTTTATAACTTAAATAATGATAAATGGTAAAAAAAATATATATATCAGGAGTCAGTAGTGCGCAGAGTTGTTATTGTCTCGATGGGGAACCGCACTGATGCGTGCACACAGCAGCAAAGTGAGGGGAACGACTTTGGTTTAAGCTTTTGATGGCTGAATATCGGCAGAACAACAACAAAAAAAAAAAAAGCCTTTTCAGAAACTGGAGCTACAGGACCAGCCGGCAGAACTTGGACGTGTTTTTTTTAAGTCTTACGAGGAAGACAAAGTCTGACTTCAGTAAGCAACAGGGGCTCAAAATACTTAAAAAGCAATGGCCAGCGTAGCTATGTATGTAATACTCTGTTCACAGCAACGCTTATCAACCTTTTGCTTAAAACCACACCAATATATTAAATTTCACTATAACAAAGGGAGGAAAAAATATTTTCTTATTCACTTTTAAACCTTTAAACCTTTTATAACTACCTGACTGTTGCACTAAAACCCCCTCAAAGGAGCCCCAGACACTTTGGTTTGTGTTGATATAGGTGGGTGTGGGGGGCGGGGGAGGGTGGGGGGGGGGATGCAGGGGGGGGATCCTCCACCCTGAAACACATCCACCCTTCTCTGGCACCCACCTTCTGGTCCCTTAAGAAAGCAGACAGACACACACACAGAGACACACACACACACACACACACACACACCACAGTTTCAGCGCATGTGAAAAATCAATAGTGTTTAGTCTTTGGAAGGATCCTACAAATATTGCATTATTTCTGTGGTCTAAAAGTGAGCCCCCAGTGATAACATAAATATTTCAACTATGCTACATTAAAAAAAAAAAAAATATTATTTTTGGTATATCTGACTATTACAAATAAGCAGTACAAAGAGTTTTCCAAGTGAGTGGACCATCGTTCTTCGTGCCCAGTTTCTGGCACAGACACCATGCAAGTGTAAAACAAGAAAGTAACAAAAACTGGGACCAAACTCACAAAACATTTCTCTTCTGAAGGGCCAGAAATGGCATTATGCCCCCCCGCCCCGATCAACGTGAACCACCAATCAGCAGGTCAGAATGCCGCCACCTCATCACTGAACACTGTGCCCTTACTGATATTTTCCACATTCACTAAAGCTATGAGTGTCCACTCCAACACCCCCACCCCAAAAATGCCCCCTCCCGCCCCCCCACAAAAGCAGAGTGACACACTTGTCACCATAAAGCTCTCAGTATTATTAAAGCTACTTTGAAACAAAAGTGATCAGTGTATATGGAGACAAGCGGCAGGAACGCCGGCGATGAAGGTGACGGACAGGCGTCTCAGGAGGCAAACTCATGTGTGCCGCCCCCTATGGCCGCACGGGGAACAGCGGCAGCACCGGTTTGACGTATTAAAGCCTTCTAACCGCGTTTCAGCTTTTTACAGAGATTAATGCAACTCAGACGGTAAATTACCCACAAAAACCACACCCCCATACAAATACACACAAATCTGTAAACGCAGTAATGAGTTCAGCAATGAAAGAACCCCATTGGTATCCTTTAGACCTCTGGTATAAAACAGTGTAACAAGCCAGTATGACAGACCATAAACAAAAGAAAGTTCACCATTAAAAAGAAGTAATCTGAACGGAAAGAATATCGACCTCAGCGACGAGGTCACTCAGTCGAATGCATGTCTCACATTTTTTGGTTCGAACGATAATTGTCTGATTTTCTATGTGAAGGGGAGGAAAAAATAAGTATGTTCAAAAAGATAATTTAGGGAAAGTGAAAAATAAATGCTATTCTTTTTCCAGGGTTTGTGCCAGGACTGCACAGAGTGCTGTGTGAAGAGTCTGTTTGGACAGTCTCAAATCGCCATGGCAACAGGGCGTCAAGTGATTTGCCCCCACCCTCACCAAAAATGATTAAAAAATGATTAAAATGGCAAGGGAGAAAAAAAAATTATAATATTAACAATATTATTAACAATAAAAAAACCTAAGATCCTGGCACAAAAAAAGAAGAATAAAGATGTAGAGAATAAAGCCTTATATAAAAAAATAAATTCAGTAGGTTTTTTCTTTTTGGTGGCAGCAGAAGTATTAAATAAGGAGAAAGGAGGCGGGGAAGGGAGGAGGACACGCACGAGGGGCGTGGCCACGAGTTCATTGGGCCTTGGAGGCAGTGGTGAGAGTGGTGGTGGGCGCCGTGGTGACGGTCCCGCTGCTATGCTGGGCATCACCGTGCGCGGTCGCCGCGGTGACCTGCAGGTTAAGGGCCCCGGCCCCGGCCCCAGACACCAGGCTAACCGGGTTGCTGGTCAGCAGGGACAGGTTCTGAGGGTTGAGGAAAAGCGGAGCCGTCACCAGGTTGGGAGTGCTGCCGGCACTGGCATTGGCGAAGAACAGACTTCCGCTGCCGTCCAGGGAGGTGATGGGAAGGCTGCCGCTGGAGGCCAGAGCTGGGCGGGAGGCGGGAGACGGGAGGCGGGAGACGGGAGACGGGAGAGTGGTTTGTCACAATCACAGATGTATTTTTCGAAGAACCAGTATGGCAGGGCTAATCAAATCACAGCAGAGGTGGAGATTTCAGGTCCAGACAGTACAAATCCAGACCAAGATTTTGTTTCAACCAACCACTTGAGTACTCTGTGACTGTGACTCTTTCAACTGGTTGGTTGAAACTAAATATTGGTCTGGATTTGTACTGTCTGGACCTGAAATCTCCACCTCTGAATCACAGTACTCAAGAGTCAAGCTGATTTTCCAGCCTTATTTTACCTGTGAAGCCTCTGGCCAATCAGAATCAGTAACCTAACTACCTGGGAGGACTGAAAACAAGGCCTGGATTTGGAATTGAGGGCAAGATTTGAAGAGCCCTGCAGTATGAACCAAAAGGATTGACATGACAACAAGCAACACAGGAAGCGATCGAGTATGGAGATGGACACATTCATGTGCTATGTGTACCTTCGCTTGTCACTGGGGCTGTACCCTTGTAATTATACCTTTTATGGTATAGAAAAAGGAACATCCCAAAGGTATACACAGCATTCATGTACCATCAATGGTACAGAAATGTTCCTCAGAGTCCATTTCTGTACCTTAATAGGTACAATTACCTATAGCTAAGGGTACAAGCGGCAGACCCTTGAGGGTACGGCCCCAGTGACAAAGGTACAAACTGGTACTCTTTATTTCTGACAGTGCAGAGTGAATCTGAGCCTCAGAGTGCTAAAAGATCCACTGAAAACAGGAGGGGGGGGGTTGGCATTTGGTAACCATGGCCACAAGCACTGTGGACATGGGTAATGTAGTTCTTGGTTAAAAGTCTGGCCTGTGCACCTTGGATGGTGGCCAGCGTGCTGTTGCTCATAAGGGCCGGACTCAGCGCACTGCCCAGGGCGCTGGGAGCCAGACTCAGCAGCGCTCCCCTGCAAGGAGAGAGAGACAGACACCGTAGAGGATGAAGGTCACGGCATGATGGCCGAGGGAGGCGTGACTTGCACTGCAACATGTGACCTCACCCAGGAGCAAACTGCGAGGACGCCATGAGGCCCGGGCCGAGTCCGGCAGCGGCGGCCGCCATGGCAGCCAGTCCGGCGCTGGTGGGCAGCTGGGCGGCACCCTGCAGGGCAGCCGAGAGGCCCGATGCAGTCACCATCACCTGTCCGGCGCTCAGCGCAGATGCCAGGGAGGAGGGCAAATGTGTATCCGCGTTTGTCTCCTGGGCTCTGCCCACCTCCGTAGCCATCTGCACCGTCGGGGAGGGGCTCAAGGAAGGGGAGGTCATAGCAGAAGTCGCCATGGGGGCCGTGGAGATGACTGAGGCCGTATTTGTGGTCGCTGCCCCAGGGGTCGTGCCTGGAACAGCAGGAAAATGTTGGAAGGTCACTTCAGGCCACAGACACACTCAAAGCGCCAGGGCAGATGTTCTCCGTTAAACCACCAAGTTTCCAACTTTGTGGGCCAATTACTTCCTCACAGGTCCTCAGTGAGCTTCAGAAGGGTAAACAAAACACCACCGCGGTAATGGTTACCACTGGAGACATGCACGTTCCTCGGCCCAAGGTGGAAAATCCACCTACCTGTAAAAGCGAGACTGGTGGCGGCCGTGCTGGTGAGAGGCAGAACTGGGTTTACAGTCAACGTGGTCGGTGGGTTACTGGACACAAGGCTGGCCGTGCTGGGCACCTGGGACATGGAAGAGGGACAGTGACGACAGGGGACGCCTCCAGCGATGCTCATGCTGCCATCGTTTGGCTACCACTGCTATTACTATCCAAATCAAAATTGATCGCTAATGTTAAGCAAATACATCAGACTCTGGGAGATATGCAAAGACGACGGAGAAGATGGACTGAGAAAAAGAACAACAATCAGCACAAGGGATGAAGGACGAGGTGGACAGTCGCCTGGGACACGGTGAAGGAGCTTTGAGTTTCAAGCATTTAAGCTGCAGAGCAACTCAACACAAAGACCTAAAATCAACAGTGAAGATGGGAAGGAGCCCTTGCCCAAGAGAGCTGTGGGCAAACAGTTATATCTATCAATTATCTGATATAATGGTGGTTGTGGTGCACCTGCCCTCCATCTCTGACAGCCCTGCTACCCCAGATAGCAGTAGGATCCTTGTTTTAATTTGGTTGGTAGTACATTATATCCTATACGTTCCCTACTAGAGTGAGGTCATGAAGTTGTCGCTGTGCTGGGTCCAGCTGGAAGCAGTGGAAATAATTTTGTCCCAAGTCTGGGAACGTGCAGCAGCCCCCCCCCCCAACAACTCAGCCCACAGCTCCTGCAACGCTGTCCAAACCCTTAAGCAAGGCCCTTTAGTGTACCAAGGGGGTGGACGGAGAGAAGATCGCTTTGATGGGGGTGCTGCTGGCGCTTCCGCTGCTGGGGGGGTTGATCCTCTTCTCCTTCTGCCTCCGGTTGCAGAACCACACGCGGATCACCTCCTTCTCCATGTTCAGCTGGTCGGCAATCATGGTGATCTCCTCAGAGGTAGGTTTTTGGTTCTGCTTAAAGAGCATAAAGGGACCCACCGGTCCACTTTCACTATGGGGGGTCAAAGGTCAGAGGTTCGAGTTCCAGGTATGAAGGCGGCTGCCCAACTGACATCATGTGAGGCCAAACCATCAAGAACATATGAGCTGAACATATTACTGAACACCGAGTCTTAGGCAGTCAAAAAAACATTTAAATCAATTTATCTGGATATTAAGTGTGCTCACAAATTTAGCATTAGAACTAGTGCTGTCAACATCAACACATGAACACTTGTAATTAATCTGGAAACCTTAACGCACTATTTTGTTGAAGACAAATTAATCTTCTGGAGTCTGAACTGAAATCTCACAAAACCATCTAAAAACTGCCGCAAGTTTTTGTCTTCGAGGCATTAAAAAAACACCCCCCCCCCAAACACCTTGAACAGTCTACTTTTCAAATATTTCACATGTGAAAACAAGAGCAAATGCCTGGGGTCTGTTTACACTAACTAGGGGGCGTCAACCTTTTATTTTGTGATGTGAGAGAGTTTTCACTGAGGAAATACCATAAAAATAGCGTTTTTCACTACCTTTATGGTATACTTTTTGGAAGTATAAGACTACAAAGCAATTATTTTATTTAACTATATTTCTCAAAAGTAATGTTGTAAAATGGCTTAAAATAGTAGGGATTGCATTTGCTGAAAATAACATTTCACATTAAACATTAACTTTTGCACTAAAAACACTTAAGTGTTCTCTGTTTGTCCAAAAATGCTTTCAAAAATAGAATTAAAAAAAGCAGAACAGGAAAACCTTTTCCAAAAGCATAATTGCTAATTACGTTAGTGACTTACACATTTGGAACCATTCAACTGAATAGTTTCAACCATCAAAACCAAGATGCTACATTAAAAAAATAAAAAATAATAAAAAACCTGATTCCTCTTACCAGTTTGTCCTGCATTTCTTTGTTCCAAGACCACATGTGAATTTGTTTCATCTTCCAAAAAATACTAGCAAAATACCATTTTAAACAGCCTATTGGTGTGATTGGATTTTTTTTAGGCGAATGACACCACTAATTAGAACATATGCAAGTTAAGAGTAGCACAATAAAAACTAATAAGAATCTAAAAAGAGTTACTGATAACTTGTTGCCTGGCTAGATGAACACTGCTTTTATCCCCAAACTCCTCAGCGGCACCCCAGCCATTCCATGTATTTATTAAATTTCACCACCAGCTCTATTAATTATTTTAATTAGTTAAAAAAAGTCAGTGAGATTAATTAGCTATAGGAGGTGTACTTGTGGTCAAGTCAAAAAGACGTCCTTTACTGTATACGTAAACTGTATAGTTGCTGCAGATACAGGACTTTAGCAGAAGTCTAGAAATGGCTAAGCTAGCACACTTTGACAGGCGTAATAGCATAGTTTTACACCAACGTGAAAATAAACATGTTTTTTTTGCTGCCTAAGACTTTTGCACAGTACTGTTACTCTACAACTGCAACATTACTTGCAATAATCACCAAGGCTGCTCTTGCGTTTCTGAACTGGATTTGACCATCTCGGTTCTTGCCATCTTTGAGACGTATTGTATAGCTCTTGTTCCAGTGGTAACTTGCACGTGTTACTAGTCCTTCACTGGAAGCTCAGCCTAACTATAACTATGCCTAGTTGACAGCTTTATTCACTTGTACTCTACAAACTCCTTCACCTGGACACCTCTGTGTAACAGGAAATATCACTCACCTCCAGAAAGCTCTTTTCTAAGGCCACTCTGATGTTGGTCTCGATGCTGGTCCTCTTCTTGCGGCGCCGGTTCAGGCCCTCCACGCCCAGGCCCGGGGATCCCAAGGCACTGGGGCTGGACAGGGCCTGGTCCGAGGTCAGGTTCTCTGCACACACAGTGGGGACACAGACACAGGGAGGCAGGTAAAAACCTGAACGTGGGGCGCCGTGAGTAAACGCCGTGTTACCATGGCTTCAGGCTGCCTGGTACCTCACGTCTTCTCCCACGGATGCTCGACATACTTAATTAAACAGCCACTGGCACCATTCACATTGAACAGAGTAAAGACACACAGAAACAAAACCAAACCAACAGACTTGCAATGATTCTGTCTTTTAAGTTGTTTTAAATGCAAGTACCAGAACCTAAAGGATTTAGCCGTCCTAGTTCCCCAGGAAGGTTATCAGTTCTGAAACGGCAGCCCGATTTCCTTTTCAAGAGTTAAACCAAAGTGTGATTGGCAGGACACGCTAACCACCTCATTTGTTCAGTCACTCTTAACCAGTGTGACCAGCTGACACATCACAGGTCAAAAGCAGACGAAGCCAAAGCATAGGAGCGGCCAAAGCCTCAGACTGCTGTTGGGGAATCATCTGACCACAGCAAACACAGAAGGGACAAACCTGCATCGTTCAGCCACTTCTCAAGCAGCGGCTTCAGCTTGCACATGTTCTTGAAGCTCAGGTTCAGGGCTTCGAAGCGCGAGATGGTGGTCTGGCTGAAATCGTTTCCGTACAGTTTTCCCATGGCCAGTCCCACATCCCCCTGCGAGTGATGCAGAGTGAAGGCATGAAAAATGAGCACCCAATACCTGCCCCTCTCACATAAACCTGCAAGTCCTTCTGATCAGTAAAAGCTGGCCTGGTGACCTCCACCGACAGCCTAACAAAGCCAAACTGAACCCCCCTGAACCCAGGTTGACTCTCAGGGCCCCACCTGAGTGAAGCCCAGTTTGATCCTCCTTTGCTTAAAGGTCTTAGCAAACTGCTCCAGCTCCTCCAGGTCACTGGGCTCCTCCAGACTGGGCGTGTCCATTCGCTTTGGTGTCGTCTGGCTGTGTGGGAGGGGTTGGATGGGGGTGGCGGCTATCGTGCGCGTCGGTGTCGCCGGCTGAAGGAGCGAGAGATTGTTAGCGCCATTATTTTTAATCGCAAATTCAAGTCTCACGTATCGTCCGCGTAATATTAACGAGCGGTGTTAAAACACTTGCAGAATTATAGTATCACACCCATCTGGGTGTCACAGATTCCTTTTGACACTGGATGCCGCAATACAAAATATTTAACCCACAAATTTGCATTATTTAAAATTACATTTAGCTTCAAGTCTATGGAGTGTGTTCAGGAGGAGTGTTTGAGGTGGGGGGGGATTATGGGAGTTGTAGTCCCTGACCTGTGTGGTAAGGGCAATGCTTGGCTGAGTCTGCAGGAGGTTGGATTGGCTTTGAGGTAGTTGAGTTAGGAGATTCTGAGCTTGCAGAAGACCTGTGTCATAAAAAGAGTGAGTTCACAGGGAGGAATAAAGGAGGTAAGAGCATCCAAATAAAAACCAGGCAGGGAGGCGGGAACACATACTCTGCTGCCCCTGTGGCGTCTGCGAGATAATGAACTGCGCCGGCTGCAGCTGCGCGGCGATGGGGTGACCCGGCTGCACCAACACAAACTGCTGCAGGTTCAAGTTCTGCTGCTGCAGCTGCTGGAACTGCTGCAGGTCCTCCATATCACAAGGAGGCAGAAAACATTACCACACGGACATAAACCACTAAAATGAGGCCACATACAACACAATAGGATGCTTACAGGTGTGATCTGAATGGGCTGGATCTGTGTGATGGGCGTGGCCGCGGAGGCAGAGATGGTGGCCCCGGTGGTGGTGCTCTGCTGGCTGGCCGAGTGCTGCACGGCTGCAGCCAGAAGCTGGGCCTGGGCCTGCTGGATCAGCAGCTGCTGCGCGGGAGTCAGCGTCAACTGGAAAGGGAGTCACAAGCGAGTCAAGGTCAATTTCTCTGAAAAATAGTCTTGGGGGAAAAGAAAAAAAAAACAGTAATACAGCTAGAAAGAGAGCAGAGATGAAGAAAATAAGAATGAAATGAAAAGTAACAGAATGAGACAAGAAGCAAACAGCTATTCGGAAGCTTTTCCCCAAACGCTGCTGTAACTCAATTTATGCATTGTATTAACACGAAGGTTGTGGGTTCAAATCCCAGGGAGCACATGTAAATTGTAGTTCTTCCCTCTACTGTAAGTAGCTTTGGATAAATGTGCAAGATAAAATTATTAGATAAAAAAGTGTGACCATTATTATGATCAGATCCATGGCTGTGAAACAATGAGTCTGACAGACACCCAGGACATTGTGGAGAACATGGCTTGCTGAGCTCTGACACAGGACGAGTATGACCAGCGAGACTCCACAGCAGGCAGAGAGCCCCCCCCCCCCCCCCACTGTGCTCGCCCCCAGCCAGGGTCACATGGTCCGCCTGCCTTCTGTTACCCCCCGTCCCCTGCCGCGTGGGTTATAGGAAATCGGCAGGGCAGTGCGGCTACCCCATACTCGTTACAGTAATGAAAGCAAACGAGCATGCTGGGAGATAATGAATCACGATTCCAGGAAATCATTACCAGGCGACCGCATGGCCTTGGAAAATGGGGGCAGCTCCACGGGGGTCGTGAGGGTGGGGGGACGTGTTGAGGGCGGGCAAGCACCATCCACTGGCCATAAACCTCGCGCCCCCCCATGGACCGGGAGTCACTGATGTGTGGGTGCGATGCCCAGAGCTCAGGTGTGCGCAGTCTGTGCCCCCCCCCATTTCCCTCCAGCTATAATTCAGACTGGCCACCACGTCAGGACTCTTTTTCAGGGCTAACCCCCTGTCTTTCTGGCTGCATCGCCATGTACCGATTCCATTCCAAAATGACCAAAACACAGGTCCAATCTGGCAATCTTTGTACAAATATAGGACTTTCCTTAAAAAAAAAACAATTTTGGCAAGGAATACTGCAAATACTCGAGACTTTCCCTCAAAAGGTCGATTTATAGAAGCACAATTTTATATTCACCTTCAGCAAACATCACACATTCACATCTGCATCCAGCACTGTCATTTAACCCTCGGGGGACGAACACATCGTCGGCGATGCAGCGTATTTTTCGCATCTATTTCAGTTTAAGTCTCGCTTAAATCTTTATGTAGAATCATGGGGGAAAAAACGCTGACTAAATCCGTAATCTGTCTTCTTTTCAAAACGTCCATTTTTAAAATTAGGTTAAATAGCAAAGAAATAAACCGTCACCTTCCTTTGTTTTACCTGCATCGGGGGCGTGTAGTACCGCTCTCACCTTGAAGATCACTATTCGCATTCTAAATAGCCGCATTACCGCGTATTCAAAATGCATTCACATGGTAATCTGATGAACAACGAAACGGTGAAATGCGATCCAGATACATCCCCATCAGCACCATAAAAGGGGGGGGGGGGGATGTGGCCAGGTGTGAATGGCTCATGCATACACACGAGAGCTCCTACATATTCAATGGAAGGAGACCAGAAATAGTGACATGAGTTAGGATTTTCTTATTTATTTATCATAACTGAATGTTGCAACTACACCATTTAGTCATCTTCATGCAGCCAAGACTTTGGTGATCAGATATGTGGGATCAGAACGAACTTCCACCATTGCTTACTATGTACTTTCATAATGTTTCTGCAAGTGTTCCAAACTGCATTTTGCAATGTCTATACTTTGACGTCAGATTACGAACTTAACATAAATCTCACATATAAACAATGTACATTAAAATTAAGATGAGTGTAATGCCGAAACAAATATATAAAACAATTTATTTGCCATGAATTTTTATGATACTGAATGAAATGTGTGACCATGCCCTAGTCAGTGAAAGTGTGTTCCCTACCCCAAGACCCCAGAGGGTTAAGCTCAACCTCTAGATTTTGCATTGACCAAAAGTTACCCATGGAAAACATTGCCGCCAGCTGAATAAGGCAGAATTGCTGGCTGTTCCTGTATCACACTGCAGCTGTAAAACTCATCCTGCCATTGGGGCAGATCAATGGCAGTTTGACATGCACAACAAACTCCATGCGCAGCAGGTGAGATTTGCCCCAATGAGCTTGGTGGCAGGTGGAGAACAAATGACACGAGTTAAAAATGGGGCACACCAGTGCACATGCTCTCAAACACAGCAGCCAGCCATGGGCCTGGGCTCATGGGTGAGCAGCATGCCACTTACTCCAGTGATCTGTCCCCCGGCCAACATCAGTTGCATTTGGGGCAACGCCCCCTGCTGGCTGGAGGCTGGAGGTTCCACTGCTTCCCCTGACTTAGACTAGAACCAAAACACAGCGTAAGGTCAGTGACCTTGGGGAGGCAAAGGCTCGCTGGATCTAGTATCTGGCTCAGCTCGGGCCTGACAGAGAACAGCAGCTTGCCATCATGAGGAATTACTACCTTTTGCCAACAGACTTCAAGCTGAAGTTTAATATTTTAAAACATTAGTAATACTCCAACCAATCTACATTCTGGTCACATGTTATTAAATCATATAAACTATATTGGCTCCAATTTTGCAAACTGAAAAACCATCTTTCCCCAAATGGTTTAAAATAAAGGACGTGTATAAAGGTCAAGTTACCATCAAGTTAAAAGGGTGGAGTTTTCTGCTCCTGTAGGGTAGTTACCGTCCCATTAATCACTGTAAACCCTACAGCATTCACTGTGAATGGTCTGCCAGTTAACCCTGAGCAGTGTGGGGAGCACAAGCACCACATTATAGGTGGGGGAAAAAAAACACAAAGGGACTGAAGTTAACTTTTTAGGAGACCAGTATTTGTAGCCCTGTTTCAACAGCTGAACAAGACAACTAGTCATGGAAAACCCAAGTCAGAGAGACAACTGTTAAAAGGTGACAGTAGGTAGTAGGGGTGTAAATCACAGCTTTCCTCGCGATACGATACAATATCGATTCCTTAAGCCAACGGTTCAATTTTTTTTGATACCTCAGAAATTCCCACGATTCGATTCAGTTTGATACTGAGGGTAGTAGTCAACGTGTTCAGGAGATTGTGTGCTCTGAGCATAGCGTCCTATGTCACCTGCCGTACTAAACACACGCTCTGAAGGTACGCTAGCTAGCGAGCTACTTATAAATGACATGGGTGCAAGTCAAAATGATCTACAAACTATAAAAATGCAAAATGAATATTTATGTATAAAAATATTGAGTATTCCTTTAATATTATTTATTATTATTAATTTCCCTTTGGGATGAATAAAATATTTTTAAATTGAACTGGGATATTAGTTCCTTCACCTTTCTCTTTCTCAGCTTGCTTTTCAGAGGGAAGTTAATGTCGTAGTTTTTATGAACAGTGTGAAAATGCCGCTCCACATTTCCCTTCTTCGGAATAGCAATGGTAGACTGACAGATGAGGCAAATGCACTTTGAATATGACATGGTGGGGAAAAAAAATAAAAAAAGTCCTCCCATTCCGTATGGAAGTGGTAGGTTTTTGGCTTCTTACTTGGTCCAGCTCCCCCATTCATTTTTATACCCTTTCTTAACGTTTGTAGAAACAAATTGGAGGTTAACTAGGTGACTCGGTAGCTTGCTGGAGTTTTGCAGCAGCTGGCGCGGTTGAAAGCGTCATCCATCCTCTATATTTTTTTATGCCATACGACCTACCCACACTACCTTTGCGATCGACCAGTAGATCGCGTTCGACGTATTGGGCACCCCTGATGTAGACCACGTATACATCGGAGTGGATCATGAAAACAATACTGGTACAGGCCAAAAAATAAAAATACATGTATCGATATTTACGCGGTCACATCGATGCATCGGATCGTTTGCCGTTGTATCGATACAAATCGATGTATTGTTACACCCCTAGTAGATAGATGTTGTTCTCTCTGAGAGACACAAACACATTTTCCACATCTTTGTAGGGACCATCCATTCATTTCGATGGAAAAACCTTTAATCCCAACAATGACAACCTTAAAGGTGCCATAGAATGAAAATCTGACTTTATCTCATCATAGATCAAAAAGGAGAGCTCAGTACATGGAACTGACATACTGTGAATCTCAAACACTGCCATTCCCTCTTTCAAATTTAATTCCTGAATATGTAAAAGGAGGAAGTGAAACGGGATGTTTTGAAATTCCTAGACTGTTATGCAACAGTCTTAACCACGCCTCCAAGCTTTAAATATGCCATTCCACTTTCAAGCTCAATGGACATGCGCGTTTGAATGTCAATAGTTCCACAGATAGTGAGGAATGAAGTAGAGGATAACAGCAAAAAAGGCAGGCTGTATGTGCCATTCGAGGCTACGACGGGGATGGCAGGCTGTATGTGCCATTCGAGGCTACGACGGGGATGGCAGGCT